GGGGCGCCTGGGTGGCTCCGTCGTTAAGCATCTGCCTTCGGCTCAGGTCACCATCCCAGGGTCCTGGGATCGAGCCCCGCATCGGGTTCCCATGCTCAGCGGGAACCCTGCTTCTCCCTCTGCCACTCCCCCTGCTTGTGTTCCCTCTCTTGCTGTCTCTCTCTGTCAAATAAATAAATAAAATCTTTAAAAAAAAAAAAAAAGGATATTCACATTGTTGTGCAGCAGATCTCTAAAACTTTTTATTTTGCAAAACTGAAACTCTGTACCCATTAGACTCTAATTTTATCACGCCCTCACTTCCAACCCTTGGGTAACAACCTTTTTACTCTTTTTCTGTGATTTTGACTGCTCTAAATACTTCATGAGTGGAATCATACAGTATTTGTCTTTTGTGATTGGCTTATTTTACTTAGCATAATGTTCTCAAGGTTCATCCTTAATGTGGCTTGTGATCGGATTTCCTTATTTTTAAAGGCTGCACAGTATTCCATTCCAGTGTTCCATGTATATACCACATTTCCTTTATTCCTCTGTCGATGAACTTTCAGCTTGCTTCTGCCACTTGGCTATTGCGAATAATGCTGTAAATCTGTCTTTGAGATCCTACTTTGAATTCTTTTGGATATATACCCGGAACTGGGGTTACAGTATCATAGGGCAATTCTATTTTTAATTTTTTTAAAGATTTATTTATTCATTAGAGAGAGAGCGCATGTGCGCAAGCAGGGGGAGGGGCTGAGGGAGAAGGAGAGGAAGAGGGGAAGCGGACTCCCCACTGAGTGCGGAGCCTCACATGGGGCTTGATCTCATCACCCTGAAATCGTGACCTAAGCTGAAACCAAGAATCAGACTTAACCAACTGAGCCACCCAGACACCCCTGTAAGTGAGATTTTCATACTTTTGTTTTCCAATTTGGTCATTGTTAGGATATAGAAATGCAGCTGATCTTCACATGCTCATATTCTGAAATTTTGCTAAAATCATTTATTAGAGGTTTTTTTTTTTTGAGACTCTTTATGGTTTTCTACCTAAAAGATCATGTTATCTGCAAACAGATAATTTTACTTCTTCCTTTCCAATTTGTTTCTTTTTTCCTATCCTTTTGCCCTGACTAGTACTTAAGTACCATGTTGAATAGAAGTAGCAAGAGTAGATATTCTTGGGGTGCCTGGCTGGCATAGTTGGTGGAACGTATGACTTTTGATCTCGGGGTTGTGAGTTAGAGCCCCACACTGGGTGTAGAGATTACTTAAAAATAAAATTTTTTTTTTAAAAAAAGAGTAGGCATTCTTACTTTCTTAATCTTAGAGGAAAAACTTTCCATCTTTCACTATTGAGTTTGATGCTAGCTGTGAGCCTTTCACATGTGACTTTTATTATGTTGGGGTAGTTTTCTTCTATTCCCAGTTTGTTGAGCGCTTCTGTCATGAAAAGATATTGGGTTTTGACAGATGCTTTTTCTGCACCGATTGAGATGATCATGTGGTTTCTGTCCCTCGTTCTGTTAATATGGTGTATTATATTGATTTTCATTTGTTGAACCATTCTTGCATTCCAGGAATAAATCCACCTTGGTCAATGTGTAGAATTCTTTTAATGTGTTAAGTTTGGTTTTTAATATTTTGTTGAGGATTTTTGCTCAGTATTCATCAGGTATATTGATCTGTAGTTTTCTCATTACTCACCTAGACAATATCCTAATTATATTACATTTTTTAGGTGTGGATTTAAAAAGTACTTCCTATCAAACTTCATTGTAAATTCCCCTTTAAAAAATATAGTGTTTACAGTGACCTGGTTTGACTCTAGGGAACAAACGCAATTACAAGTTTTTTTTTCTCGGAGTTTGAAATATAACTGAAAAGAGCAAAATAAAAAAGAACTGAAGTCAAAGTTAGTTACTGTCTTTGTGTGGTGTTTATGGATTGTGGTAAAGTATACATATAATGTTTAACATTTTAAGCATTTTAAAGTATAGGAAAGTGGCATTAAGTGCATTCACATTGTTGTGCAAACATGTATATCCTTTGTATTACTCTGCTAGGGCTGCAATAACAATATATCACCGATTTGGTGGCCTGAGCAACAGAAATTTATTTTCTCACAGTTCTGGAGGCTAGAAGTCCAAGATTAGGGTGTTAGGTTTATTTGAGGCTTCCCTCCTCAAGGTGGCTGTTTTCTCTCTGTGTCCTCACATGGCATTTCCTCTGTGCATGCATCCCTGGTCTTTTTCTTCTTATAAGGTTGCCAATCATATTGGATTAGGGCCTCATCCTTATGTCCTTATTTAACCTCAGTTAACCTTTTTGAAGGCCCTTTCTCCAAATGCAGTCACATTGGGAACTAGGGTTTCAACATATGAAGAATCTGTTCATAACACCTTTTATGTAGTGCTTCTGGTTTATGTAGTGCTTCTGGCTTCCTAGAGAACCTGCCATCATCAGTATATTCATTTCTTATTGTTGTTCTAACAAATTATCACAAACTAGGTGGTTTTAAGTAACAAACTTACTGTCTGACATTTCTGAAAGCCAGAAGTCTGAAATCAGTATCACTGGACAGAAATCAGGGTGTCAGCAGGGTTATTCTCTCCAGAAATTCTAGGGGAGGATCCATCCCTTGCCTCTCTCAGTTCTGGTGGCCACAGACATTTCTGACTATGGCTGCAATCTTCAAGACCAGTGTTTTCAAATCTCTCTCTATTCTGTCTTCGAGTTCTCTGCATATAGTCAAATTTCCCCATCTCCCTCTTTATAAGAATACATGTGATTGTACTTAGGGCCCACCCAGATAATCCAGGATAGTCTCTCCATCTCAAAATTTTAACTTAATCACATCTGTAAAGACTTTTCTTTTGGGGGGAGGGGTTATAGAAGGTAATATTCACAGGTTCTGGGGATTAGGATATGGATTCTCTTGCAGGGCCATTTTTTTTCATCTCATCACACTCAGTAATTCATAGTAGACTTTTAGTGTTCTCACTTTGATTTATAGTTTAGCTTGTAATAGGTCACAGTATCCAGTCCTGGGTAGGTAAAGATTGGTGGCATTGGGTGGCTGAGAGAATATTTTCATCTCTTCTAGACATTATGCAGAAAACTCCAGGTCTGTGGTTCTTCGTGTGTGGTCCTGGAACTAGCATCACCTTAGGAACTTATTAGAAATGCAAATCATTGGGCTCCAACTTAGAATTACTAAATCAGGAACTCTGAGGGTGGGGGCTGGCAGTCTGTATAACAAGCCCTCCGGGTGATGCTTATGTGTGCTAAAGTTTGAGAAACACTTGGCTAGGTTGCTGACATTATTAGTATTAAGACCATATTCACCTTCTTCTCTAGCTCTTTTTTACTTAAGTCTAATACTTCAATGAGTCTAGGATTTATAGTCACAAACTGTTTTCTGTAGGGATGCAAACATTTAGTACCAAAATCTTGGTATTGATGATCAGTGAAATTGATTAATTCACTCAGTAAAAGTTTGCACTGGGCTGATTTTTATCATTGTCTTTTTACTTAGATGTAGTTATTTCATAAAGTAATGTTACCAGATTCAGAAGTGATGTGAATTTTTTTTCTCTAGTCCTGGAAATGTGAATTAAACTCATTAGCCTGAATTTTACTTATTTATCGTCTATATCCCTGTGTACATTTTGGGATACAACACAAAATTTCTAATCTTTGATTCAGCCTGCATTGTTGTACTTTTACTATGTGCCACCCAATGAAAATGCTGAAATGAGATGAATGAATTCTTGTCCTTCATGTCCATACTGTAGTTCAGAAAACACATAAGTAAACAGTTGATAATAGAGCTATCAAACAGTTACGCAATTGAGAAACACCATAGCGGAAGAAATTGAAGAAGGATCTTTCAGGGTGACTAAGCTAAATATTGCAAAACTAGTAAGAAAGGTGTTAGCCAAGTTAAAGAGAGATAAAAGGTAGGTATAGTTCACCATGTGAAGCATCGTGAAAGCTGAGAGGGCATGGGGGCTGTTCTGGGAGTTGAAGGGGTTTAGTATTAGAAACCTGGAGTGAATGTGAGAGTAAAGATTGGGGATAATCGATAAGGATGAGATCATTGATGAGTACTGTTGAAGGACTTGAAGCATAGATGTGACATCCCCACTATAGCCATTGCCAAATGATAACTTACATGATTCTGGGAAGAATAAATTTGAGATGATAGTCTGGAAATAGAATAGTTACAGGAATCTAGGTGAGAATGGCAGTAGGTATTGTGCCATTTTTTGTGAATAAGAATTCAAAAGATAAGCTAGTTTCAGGTTGGGGAAGGGGATGTGTAGGGTACAGGATAAAACATACTGAGTTTTTAGAATTTGTGGAATGTGATAAAATTAGGGGTACATAATTTTTCAAGTCAATTTTCAGTGGAATGTTGGGGTAGCTGTTATACTAGATTGTGAATTAAATTGAGGAAGCAGGAAAGTATCAATGTGTACTATCCTCTAGAATAATGGTCCCTGGCATTTACTAAGTATTTAATCATTGTTAGACATTATTATATTTACTGTTAGTATATACTTTCATGCCATCTCATACTGAATTTTTTTCTTCAGCTTTTTGGTGTACTTTTTGGGGGGTGTGTGTGTGGTGTGTATATATATATATATATATACCCACATATATGTAATAGTATTAGATAAACATCTAGATAGAAGTATGCGTTTTATTAACAAATACTGATTTTAATTGCTATACTATTAAAATTAATGAAAAGTTATTGTAAATTTTTTGAAAGAGAACTAGAAAGTTTAAGTTTCATTTGAATAGATGATTGTTCATAAAAAATGGTACTTAGCAAGTTTCCTAAAAGTTTAAAATGGTCATGTTTTAGTTGAACCACTTTTGGATACATGTTATGTCAAAATAATTTGATTTGCAGTTTTTAATTTCAAAGAATAAGTGTATCATAGATGTACTTATTCATACTTGACACAAAAACTAAATGATGGTCTTTACATGTATTCTTTCAGGTTTGAGTTAATTTCGAATGAGATTGTTTTTGCAACGAGATGTTAATAAGACAAAATCTAGGTAAGTAGAAGACTACTTTGTTAAATGTTACATATCAAAGTAGGAATAACACAAAAAACTTATGTTTTAAAAATATGCCTTCAAGTTCAGAATTAATGAGTTCTTCAATAAAATTTTGAAATAACGAATAATTCGCTTTGATGTACTTGCTCCAGTTGATTTGGTAGGAGTAATGAGTCATCAAACTGTGGAACTAAATTCTTAGTTTTCCTTCTTTTATATTGAGTTTAAGTACGTAGTTTCCCGTGACTATTAAACATGTTAGAAAATTGAGTTGGTGTTTGGTTTAGCTATTCAGAAACTAGTTCAGTAAGAGATTTGCTGGATGCTTCAGTGTTCTCTTAGTGGATTATAGTGCTTGAGTAGTTTTTGCCTTTGCGAATTTTACTTTCTTATTTCTGTTAATGAAGCACTTCTATAAATTGATAAATTTGCCAAATTATGACTTCTTTATGTTAATATAATGTTTGGAATTATAAATGATTGTTTCACTTTTTTTCTTATGAGTATCTCTACTGAATGACTTTTCTAATTTAGCATTCTGATTTGCTTTAATTTTTTAAAGACTGTTGACTTTCAGGAAATTGAATTGTGATCATGTACTTTTTTGGTCTGATATGTGAAAGAGGGTTTTTTAATAATATTAACTGTTGAGATGTTAAAAAGATAGACTATCTTTTGGCAAGTGAACATGGTTTCAGGATATAAACAGATTAAAAAGAATACTTAAATTGTAGTTAACTTGGTCTTTCTCTAATCTCACCAGGTGTTTCAGCTGTCAGAAACTTGCTGATCTCAAAGTTAAAAAAAGAAAATAAAAAACCTAGAATGAGAAGTGCTGTAGCTGAGTAATATGTAGTTAAACAGTGTATTCTCATTAAGTGGTTCAGGCATAATTTGAAGGAAAGTTTCCCTTTTATTGCTATTATATAATAATAATTGTAGTGGTGGTGTGAAGAGCACTTATTGTGCTCTGTATTGTGTTAACTGCTTCTCATGCCTTGTTAATCTTTATAGTACTTTCTGTAAGGTAGGTACTGCTGTGTAGAAATTTTTTTTTTTTTGGTTTATAGTGAGCTATTTCTTTTCTTTAGGACGAGTACATTATCTTCACAGCATTTATTATAAGGAACACTTGTCTATATATCTTCTTGTAGGGAAGAAGAAGCTAGACTTTTGTACTTAAGGTCTTATAGGGATTTTGTTTCCTAATTGAATATATATATAGTGTGTTAAAACCTTTATTCTGATTTCTTATAAGTCAGGTATTGCTTAAGGGATGACACTGGTTTAACTTATTCTGACCCTGTTCTATCACAATTATGCATTTTTTTCTTTTTTTAATAAGATGTAACTTACATTTTTATATAAATTAAGTTGTAACTTATGTATGGTAAAATTTAAAGTATAGAGCTGAATGAGGCTTTTACATACATGTTCACACATGTAATTACCATACAGATCAAGATGTAGAACATTTTCATTGCCCAGAAAGTTCCTCATACTCTTCCCTTTCCAGTCCAATAGCCTTTTCCCCCTGAGGTAAGCATCTTTCTGAATTTTATCAGCATTGCTTAGTTCTGCCTGTTCTTGAATTTTTTGTATATAGAATTATATAATTATATATGCACTCGTTTATATGTGGGTTTTTTCAACCAGCATACAGCTTATTGTGTGAGTATCAGTAGTTCATTATTTTTTACTGCTGAGTACTATTCCATTGTATGAACATGCTACAATTTTTTTTATGTATTCTCTCTGTAATTTTATTGGATTCTCCAAGTCTCTGACCTCACTTTCCAGCATTCTACACTGCTTTCCTTCCTCTAGTTGTCCCCTTTATTGTTACCTGTCACCTGCACAATAAAATGTAAACTCCATAACATAGCATACGACGGTTTCACTGCAACTATTCCAGAATGCCTAGAATTACCTGAATAAACTAAGTCTGATGTTTCATATATTGTTTTAGTCCTAATTATATGTTGTCACTCTTCCCCAGCCTCTCTCCTCCCCAACTGTCATTGTCTTTCCTCCTGCTCATCAGCTTATCTCCTGAAATAGTCCATCTCAAGCATTATCTTATCCTTTGAGCCAGACCTAGTCATACTGCAGTAGAGTGTTTTCTTTACTGGACTGTGAGCTCTTTGAAGGTAGACACCATCAATGTCTTACTTATCTTAGTAGCGCAGTGCCAGAGTACTGTGTGTACTTAGTGAATGTTTGTAAAATATGGAACAATGAACAGAATTCTCTCTCAGTCAACTAGGGATTCAGAATGTTGGCTGGAATGGGATGAGGACATGGGCACTTCAGTTGCTATTGGGCTGTAGGAAGGAGCCAATGAGGACAATACAGCATTATAGATATTTTGGAAGGCAATAAAATATTACCCGTCTTCTTTGAATCCAATTTTTAAAATGTTCTTAGTTGAGACCTTAAAGAAAACTGTTCATTTTGATTACTCTTTTCAAATGAAGGCATTAATCCATGTTATGGAAATTGGAGTGTTTGCTACTAATGGTATTCTTTTTGTGAGTTTGTAATAGTTATTTCTTTAAAGATTTTAAAGGCTGTATTAGATTAATACAAGTAGAAAATTAGGAAGACTGGTCACATCTATAAAGAAAACTTTTTCTCATTTTCCTGAGGTTAAAAAAATAGAGTAGAGAAGGAAGTTGAATCATAGTCTGGAATTGTGATAATATTTTTGATTTTTATAGTTTGGGAAGCTTGCTGTTTGATGAGAAGTATTTTTAAAAATTTTGTTTTTATCATTGTAGGTCTGTAATATATAAATAATATGCTTAAGAAACTTAAAATATTGTAAAGTATTTTATACTAGTTTTTTTCTTCCATATTTGAAATTAGGCTGGTTGGGTTGGCCATTGTAGTCACCTGGGGGATTTTTATGCCTTCCAGCAAGTCCAAAGCAAGGAGAGGTTCTTCCCCACTGGGATCAATTTGTTGCTTTTCCTCTTTGCAACTTCTGCCATAAAGGTTGAATACAGAGTTGGACATTGACCCCATCTCATGCTGTTTCTTCTGATCCCTACAAGGATTTTCTTAGACATAGATTCTTATCAAATGTCAGAACTTCAGTTATTTGTTTTATTTCATCATGGATATGAAGTATGTTTAGTTTTCTTGTTGATAAATTTGAGTATTCAGAGAAATAAAACCTTGAGGTTGTTTGACTTACATGTATTTGAAAGATTTTAGGTTAGTTTCTCTTCTCAGAGGCTGATAGGTATACCTCAGTTTCAGACTTGTCTTCATTCTGTGCTTCAGTATTTTATATGGTCAGCCATTGCTTTTTTCATTTTGCAGAGTTTCCGAATCCAAGGATTTGAAGTTCTTTATGAATACTTACCTTATATTAGCCAATTTCCTTAATTTTCAAATTAAGTTCTCTGTACTTCACTCTTTAGTAGCAATGTAGATGTGTGCTGCCCTTTGTTGTAATGTGAAAAAGAAAAGACTTTTAAATTAATAAAAATATTTGTCCTTCATTCTAGATGAGATTGCACAATGTACATTTGACCTTTTTCAGATATATTGCCAAGTAACATTTAGTATTTTTGAAATTTTATTTTTTTATGGAAGTCACATATTTATTTACGTATGAGCAAATAGTATGGAGATGTTTAGAGTAAGTAAAACTGTCCTTTCTCACCCAGTACTGTACTCCCCATAAATTATTGGAAATAGCTGATATGTATTCTGCATCTTTCTCTTTCCATTTGCCAGTATATCTTGGACATTTTTCCATATATGGATTATATTTAATATAATTGTTTCCTTGTTGATAGAGATACTTCAGTAAATCTCAGGGTTTTTTGCTTATATATGCAGTGCTGCAATAAATATTCTTCACTACATTATTGGAATTGTGTGAGAATGTAGGATAATTTGTAGCAATGGATTGCTGGGTCAGTGTATATGTGCAGTTTAATTTCTGATATTGCAAAATTGCAATGAGATTATATCACTTAATGTTTTTGTTAGCAGTGTTTGAGAATATCTCTTTCCCCACACCCTGCTAAATATTAACTCCTGTCTTAATCCATGTCAATCAGTGAAAAGTGGATATTTATTGGTGCATTTTTTTTAATTAGAAGGACTTTAAATTTCCAAGTCTTTTGAGAAAGTAAAATTAATGCAATGCAAATCAGAACATCCAATTAATAAATTTAACAAGCCAAAGTAATTTTGTTAACAGATTTAACCCATTTATTATGGGCTAGCAATGTCTGATGGCAGACTTCACTGTGACAGCAGGAGTGGTGTTGTAGTTGTAGGTCCAGGCACCACTGGCTACCGTTTTCATGTAGGAACCACAATGCCAGATCCTCACAGCTTGTCTTTTCCCCTTGGTTTTGCCACAGAAGGAGAAAAGTGTATTTGGCATGCTGACTTATTTTACTCTTCTTCACCATTTTCCTGAGGGAGGGATCATAATGGGTTCTGTATTTACCGATGATTCCGACCTTCTTGGTGCATTTAACTATACTGTCGCAAACTTGGTCTGAGCCCAGAGAGCTCTCACTGTGTTTTAAATTTACATTTCCCTAATGACTAATGATGCTCAACATCTTTTCAAGTGATTATGTGCATTTTTATCTTCTTTTAGGTGAAATGTCTGTTCATGTCTTTTGCTCATTGTCTAGTTGGATTGTTTATTTTTTTACAGTTGTCTTGAGAGTATGTATTGTAGCTACTGGTCCTTTGTTAGATAGGGTTTTTCTAAGTACTGTCTCCCATTCCAGTCTGTAACTTGTGTTGTCATCTTCTTAACAGGGTCTTTAAAGTTCTAAGTTTTCAGGAGGTTCAGTTTATCATATATTTTGGGTTTTTTGGAGATGGTATTGTGAATTTAATTTCAGATTCTGTATGTTCATTGTTAGTATACAGAAATACAATTGATTTTTTCTAAGGTAGAATTCACCTAAAATATATTATTAATTTTAAAGTATAAAATTCAGTGACTTTTTAGATTT